TCGAATCCTCAGTAGCTGCAAAGAGTCTGGGCTCAAGTGAGACTATCCAGGGCATCCAGCTGAGTGCCAACAGAGAAATGATTGCGCTGGGTATCGCCAATATGGTTGGTGGATGCTTCATGAGTCTCCCAGCTTTTGGCGGATATGGACGAAGCAAGGTGAATAAGAGCACCGGAGGCAAGAGTCCTGCCAGTTCCATGTTTCTGAGCATCATCTCTCTGCTATCCATCTTCTTCCTTCTCCCCTACTTTTATTACCTGCCAGTGAGTACCCTATGAGACCTATGTGTGACACATGAGCTAACATCACTTAGAAACCTGTCCTATCGGCAATGATCTCTGTCGTCGCCTACTCGTTGATAGAAGAGGCGCCCCATGACATTGGCTTCTTCTTGAAGATCCGTGGCTGGACTGAGCTAGGTCTTATGGCTGTTATCTTCCTTGCAACCATGTTCTACTCTCTCACACTTGGCATGGCATTCGGTGTAGGATTGTCGATGCTCATGGTTATCAAGCATAGTACGCGACCACGCATCCAGATCCTGGGTCGAATTCCGGGGACAAATCGATTTGAGAATGCTGAAGGTGACAAGGCGAGTCTTGAATTCGTTGAAGGTTGTCTTATCGTCAAGATCCCAGAGCCTTTGACTTTCGCCAATACAGGAGAGCTCAAGTCCCGACTTCGTCGGCTGGAGCTCTATGGCACATCGAAAGCACACCCTGCTCTGCCTCGCCTTCGCAGTACCGACATGAACAGAAACGTCATCTTTGATATCCACGGTGTAACCTCCATGGATGGATCTGGTACGCAGGTTCTGACTGAGATCGTACGCAACTACCACGATCGAGGAGTGCGGGTGTACTTTTCTCGATGCCCAGCTCGCAAGGATCACCCTGTATGGCGATTGATGTCAAGCAGTGGCATTGTGGAAATGGCTGGCGAAAGACACTTTGTAAATGACGTGGAAGAGGCATTGCGTTTGACAGAGTACGAAGAAAGCATTGCTGGCGAATCGAGCCGGGCACAAGAGCTCTAGAGAATTAGAAAGACGAAAAGGGAGAAAATGGTGTTTTTGAGGGAGGGGATCGTGATGCAGCGTCTGGGCTCGAGCGTTGTTGATGCTTTGGAGGAGATACCATTGCAGGAGTTTTTAGAGCACAAATTGAGATTTTCATTAGAGCCAGCGTTGACTTAACAATGCTACACAGAAAAACAAATATACATTGGTAGTTCTGGGGTAAAACTTTAGGTTCATCCTTCACTGTATACTCTGTGCTTAGTCTCCGTGATCCATGTTGATGCTATCATGATACCATACAACAGGCCATAATGTTTTCGAAAATGTATTACAAGCGAGCACAAACCCCTCATCTATCATGCAGTCACCTCATGACGAAGTCTCAGGTAACGGACTTTTGGACAAATGTGTGTTGGTGGACCATATAACTGCATCACTGCTCCTGTGACGGCAATGCCAGAAGGGACAGGTTCGCATGTTGATCCTTTCAATTACAAGATCGTTGCAAACCGTCGGGCATATCGTTGACTCGATAGGATCCTCAAGTTGTTGGTAGCATGGATGATGACAATCCGACTATCAGCACTGGGAGGTAAGCTGTTTACTTGTGTTGTATATGCCATACAATGGCGGCAATTCTCGCTGTATCACCGACAGCCTTCGAGATTCGACAGCGTCCCTCACATCGAGCATCCTCGAATACAGACACATCAACGGCCGGCCTTTCCAACGGTCGAAAACAACAGAATACTGGTACGTTGAGCTTATTCTTTAACAAAACTGTCAAGCAAGTGATCTGATCATATCCAGGGCGCCTACTGATGATGATTGTCAAGAGGGCCAGGATATACTGTAAGGCACCTCGCTCGCTGAAGAGTTGGAGCATGCAATAACCTTCATCTTGAAGACATCACTATACACTGCTGCTATTCGACGATAAGCTCCACCTAGCCCCCATTGACAAGAATCCTCAGGTATGAACATAGGGAGACTAGATGCAACGAGGCTAATTCCACTCAGAAAATCCTCGACATTGGTACCGGGACTGGAATATGGGCCATGTAAAACCCCCTTCGGCTATTGAAATTGGATCTCTATCAAATCCAGTGACACGGCCGATGAGTACCCGACTGCTGAAGTAGTTGGAACAGACATTTCAGCCGTCCAGCCTGCATTCATGCCCCCAAACTGCAGCTTTCAAATCGATGATGCCCAACTCGACTGTACATTCAAGCCCGATGAGTTTGACTTCATCCATATCCGGTATCTTTACGGTGCGATCGACGACTGGAAGAAACTATACCGTCAAGCGTTTACCCACGTACGACCAGGGGGTTGGGTCGAGAGTCTTGAGATCGACATTGAAACTCACAGCGAGAACCCCAAGATCGAGAAGGACGAAGGCCACATTTTCAAGAAATGGTGCAAAATATTCTTTGAATGCGGTCATCAAACTGGTCGAACTTGGGAGATTGCGCGAGATGGCCATCTGGAGGAGTATATGCGAGAAGCAGGATTTACATATCTATTTTCCAAATCGTGGAAGCTCCCAGTTGGAGGTTGGCCTCAAGACAAGAAGCTGAAGCAGATTGGTCTCTACAATGGGGCTTTTATTGACCACTCCATCGATGCTTTTGCCATCTTCCCAATCGGAGAGATCCTAGGTTGGTCGGAAGAGGAGGTTACGATTTTGGTCAGCCAGATGCGAAAGGCACTCAAGGAGCCAAGAGCACTGCCTCATTTCAAGGTGTGAGTTTGATGCTAAGTTTGTCGAGAGTCCATGGCAACTAACATCGAGAAAATCGCATGGTCTATGGTCTATGGTCTAAAGCCTGAAAGTACTCCCAAGACTGCTTGATGCATGGATCTATATGGTTATTGTGACCAAGCCCGGCTATAAGTTATGTCAGTACTACTAAAATTTATGACGACTTACTTCCCTCGTGTGTGTCAAGTTTCTCTGAGCTTGACGGAAAGTCTCGTTTAAAGACTACGTCGTACAAAAGTCCAGATAACCCTAGGAGCACCCACGATCTTCAAACTTGCTGGAGACAGGGACACTCAGTTTCGGTGCCAAGACTACTACTTTGTAGCAATAAAACGTCGAAATCAAGTAGCTTTACATCCATAGTAAGGGGCTTCCATCGAAAATAGCTGCTCATGTATTATCATCTACCATGAATATTGCGTGTTCGCCGACAGCCGCATCATGTGGTGATTGATATTGATATCCACTTGCCGGAGCAACTGTGGCGTTGGGCCAAGACCAAGAAGGCCCATCTGATGAATTCAAACAGCTCGATAATTCGGGGAGTTGACCATATCATATGACTCCATCCATAGCTTCTCCAGTCCAGGCGCCTTGACCAAGACCAGGTATCTGTAACTCCCCGTCGCGACAAGAACCATAATAACACTACATGCTGAGACTACTTCGGACCCTCGACCACAAAGATTATAGAGTCGTAACAGCGCCGACAGTCCGGAGTCACCGAGCCCTACAACAGTATGGAAACCACTGCTCATCCCCTGGTTCCCCACGGCATACTCGTCCTCGACAAGCATTGCGACCTCTCAAATCAGGGCTGCGACTTGCCTCTATCCACTCGCTGCTCGAAGAATGTCGGTGCCTGGTTCTGAATCGCGGGCCCTAGCAAAAGACGTCATGAGCTAGCAAGACCGGGCTGTTGGCTTGGCGTTGTAATATTTCCTTTGGGGATATCTTTATGGTTCGATTTACCAGTCATATTCTTCTGATTCGACACCATCAAGGCCCAAATAGGCAGGCAAATTGTTATAAAATATGAGACAGCGTATGTATTCATATCTCTCGATGCGGGTCAAAGTTTACACAATATGGGCTTGTTCTGACGAGCTCAACTAGTTTAGACTCATTTTTTACATTGATTTTCTTGCTAGTAAAATGCAAGGGGAAAATAGTGTTGATGATACGTGACAGTCAAAGTGGAAGCCATGGAACCATGGGTGTAGGTTATCTCCTAGGTAAAACCAGTCAATTTCCCGAGACGAGACCCAGCTTTGATTAGTGAGTGCCCTTCGCTTTCAGACCAGCCTCTCCCCCACGCCTCTCGATCCTTTCTATCCAATGTTACCACAAGTGACGTGCTTGGGCACGGGGTTGCCGTAAAAACCTGTGACATGCTGTACATCTACATGTATCACCTCGCATGAGCCTCCAGCTAAAGCTTTTCTTCATCCTTTCCTTGCGTGCGTTTGGCCAAGAGAAAAGTGGTTGGTGCCGTCTTACCCTCCGATGCCAAGACACGAGGCACTGGGACCCTCGAGACGTTTGAAACCCGGAAATAAGCGTTCAAGGTCAAGTTTGTGTTATGCTTAATTTTAACCTCCTCTAGTTAATTGTGGCTCTCAGCAACACTCACCTCTAGCAATATGTCAACCTCATAAAAGAAGGAAACAAAGTCTCTACAGTCCGGAATTGACAATGTTCGTCTGCTGGCCATCATCTTGCAGCAGAGACATAGGTCAGCATCATCCTCCCACGACCACGGCCCCAACGCGCCAAGTCTCTGGGCACCTTGGCAGCGGAGTCTTGTTCGTAGATTCGTTTCTTGTCATACGAAGCCAAGCATTTCAATGGAGTCGGCCAAGTCGATCTTGTCCCCGGCAGCAAGTAGCAAATCCAACAGCTCCCCGTCGACTGAGGCGATCCTCCGATAGTCCTTGTAAAAATGTAAACTCTTGGCTCGTCCCTGATTTTATGGAGGAAGTATCTGCAATAAAAGACGGGCCGTCCGCACGTGGATCCTTCCCTGGTGAAATAATCAGTTCCAGAGTCTCGGGTTTCTAGACATTTCAGTGAAATCAGTGTCCCTGAGTTTTCTTATGTGAAAAGTTCACTCCTTGTGGAACTCTCACCCTATGACTACCGAAATTTGATACTCAAGACGACTCAGCCGAATAAGTTCCTCTCCCCCTCGCCCTCAAACGTATCAGCTTCACCATGGCGATCCCACCAATTCTCAAAAAGATCGGCCAAAAGCTCTCACCTCCACCATCAACATCCGAAGATGGCCGTGATCAATGGAATTCGAGAGCTTCCTTCTTGCTTGCGGCCATGGGAGGCTGCGCCGGTATGGGAAACCTAATTCGGTACCCTTCACAGGTGTACAACAACAACGGCCTGCAATGGTTTATTCCATATCTCATGTGTGTTTTCCTGATTGCCATCCCGGCCTTGATTCTCGAAGTCAGTATTGGTCAAGCGTACCGTGGAGGGTCTGTCGTCGCTTTCAACAACATCAACCACCGTCTCAAAGGTCTCGGCTTCAGTCTTCTATACATCGGATTTATGGTTAGTCCGTACTTCGTCGTCAATCTTTCCTGGATCATGATCTACTTCCGGAACTCGTTCCAGAGTCCTCTGCCGTGGGAGGGACGTGCTGAGGAATACTACTACCAAGACGTGGTGCAGAATGTCGATGCGATTCCCGGTAACAAGACGTCGAGTGGTGTTATAGACTACGTCAAATATCCTGGCACTGCCCTTATCGGAGAGACTGTTGGATGGACTGCATTCGTGTGGTTCCTCGTATGGATCTCCATCTTCCGCGGTATTGGCCAGACAGGTCGTGTTGTCTACTTCACCATGGGTCTACCTGTTGTCTTGACTATCATCCTTGTCGGCCGGTCTGTTTCACTTCCAAACGCTGGTCGCGGCGTAAAGCTGTATTTTGGAGAGTGGAACGGCGAGAAATTGGGATCCGGTGACATTTGGCAGACTGCAGCTGGCCAGGTCTTCTTCTCAACTGGTGTCGGTTTTGGCTATTTCAGTTCTTATGCCTCTTACAATCAGAAGCATGCCAATGCTGTTATGGACTCATGTCTAATTGTTGGCAGCAATGTCCTCTTTGAGGGGTTCGCCGCCTTCGCTGCGTTCGGAGTCGTTGGATACCTGGATATGATGCCTGTTCCCGGCGAACGGATTGGTGCATTCACCATTGGATTTTTGACGTTGCCAACGGCTATCACTCAGCTTCCTGGATCATCGTTCTGGGCCTTTGCACTCTTCTTTACCCTGGTGGTCCTGGGTTATAGCTCTGCATTTGCCATGGTGGATGCCGTGGTAACGCTTGTCATGGATACCAAACCCAAAATTCGTCGCGAGTGGGTAGTCACAGGTCTTGTGATTATCTCATTCCTTATTTCACTCCCTTTCTGCACCCAATTCGGATATGCTCTTCTCACAGGAGTTGACCGTTGGATCAACGATGTTGCTCTAGTGTTCGTTGTGTTTGGCGAATGTGCATTCTCCACAACTTTCTACCGTTGGAGAGACGTAGCAGGACAGGTAGGAAAGCCAGCCTTTTTCATTTGGAACTTTGGATACTTTGGCGGTATGGTTCTCGGAGTTGCTGTTGCCCATGCGGTTCAAGCTGAAGCGGGTGCTGGAGTTGGCTTTGGTATCTTCATCATCTGCTCGATCGTCTCCTGTGTAATTGGCAAGACTCCTGACGAACTTCCGCCTGCCTTGACCTTTACCGAGGATAAGGGGTTTGCTCGCCGATTCATCGGCAGAAGTCCTGCCTTATCAAAGCTCTTGGACAACGTCTTCATAACACGCTTCTGGTACATGGCTTTTTACTCTGTGAGTTCTTTCATCCAGCTTGTTGTGTGCAATTACTAACAGCACTCATCAGGGCCAGCAACTTCGACGGGATCTCAACGTGATTGTCGCAACCGGAAAGAACTGGAGTATTCCCGCCTTTTGGCCAATCCTCCTCCGCTTCATCTCGGCGCCTGTGCTCGCCATTATCTACGGCTTTGCGTATCCCGCTTTCTACGAGCTCCGTGATGACCCTCTACATATTCTTGGCTTCGGTCTTGCCCATATCTGCTTGGTACTGATCGGACTGGGAGTCCTCGTGCCCCGCTGGTACAACACGATTATCCCTCCTGACCGACGCGAGGAGGGCAAGCTGCCGTATGCTCCCAATGTTCTTTTGGATGGCGAGGAGCCTCGAAGAACTGAGTCGATGGAGACCGGCGAAGGACTTGCAGGCTCCGAAGGCGGTGAAAGCGAAGAAAAGAAGGGACAACGTGTGATGTAGTTCTGGCGTGAGAGTGAACGAGAGTTCATATTGGATTTGTTGCATACACGAGGGAAGGCAAAAGGCTTGCCCCAGGTATCTCATATATATTGTAGTCAGGTCTCCCCAAAGGACTTTGATGTCTGCTGCCTCGTCTGTGCATCAAGTGAAATTGCCGAGCATTGAGAAACGTAAAAGGCCTGCTTGCGCTGGCTCCAAGTCGACACAAACGGTGGCTGCCATTAAGGAAACGGGATCGTCGCTGTTCAGATGCTGCACCCGAACTGTTTCGTGTTAAGTTGAAGATCTCATGCTCCAACGAAGATTGTAGTGGGGGATCAGACCCAGAAGGAACAATACGAGTTACGAGAAAGGGAATGGAAATTACGGAGTCTCCGCTTCGCAAGATGTTTCAGTGAAACGACGTCATTGACACTTTTTTGTCTGGAACATGTATACTTTCTAGGAAGGTGGGAAGAGGCTGTTTCCCAGAGATCGTCGTTCACTCTAGCCAATCAGCATTTCTTGGCCGGACTCTCGCCTAAGATGCCTTTATCTCTCATCCAATTGTTTCCTCAGCCCATACTCACGTTTATATCTAAGCTTAAGCCGGTCAAACCTCCGTCTTTCTTGTGTGCCGTTGTCGAGATAAAACAAGCCACCGACGCATGGTTCACAAGCATTCCTGTTCAATGGTTCTGCAAGTCACGTCATGCAGGGGTTATTCTCATTTCCGCAAATTTACGGATAGACAGAGACGGAACACATTCATACCCTAGTTCGCTGGTATGAGCCAGAACGCTTCACCGGTTGTTCTGGAATTCATCTCCAAAGAGTTAAACTCGATACAAAGAGCGATATGTGTTTCAACAGAACCTATACACCCAAATTTTGACTCATGTGCCTTCGGTCGCTTGAAGCCGCGACGGACCGAAGACGCCAAGCATGATCATCAACGGCTATCCCCACGATCGCCAGGGTGACATGCCCCCCTTTGAAGTCCAATCAAGAAGAGCTGAAGAAGATCACCGGCAGATTTCAAGTTCGTATGTCGCACTTACAAGAAATATGCATGCAGAGCTGAAAAGAGAGGCAACTCGAAAACACTTTCGATGAAACACTTTCCCAAAATGATGCTGCGGTCTGCTGAAATGGGAGAGTGGCATGATATGTTGAGCTTGTCCAAGTGTTACACGATCATGATCAACTCGAAACCTGAGTCTATTCCCCAGACAGTGAGTGGGACAGGCGTCGATCTTGGTCTTTACATACTACTAGAACAGTGGAGGTACGTGAAAACTATATAAGATAGCCTCAGGTTAAAGTAATCAAGACTTTCCCCCCCAATATCTTCAACCAAACACTCGTAACTACTCCAGCCCCAAGAACCATCAAAATGCATTCCTCAACTCTATCCCTGTTCTTCACCCTCCTTCTATCCTCCCATTCCCTCTGCGCTACCAACGAGCCCTGTTACGGGCCCAGCGGTCGGGCAGGTGTATGCATCACTGAAGCGTCTTGCACCTCTGCCGGCGGCACCGCCATCTCTGGTGCATGCCCTGCCGACGCCGCTAACATCAAATGCTGCTCCAAGCCAACCTGTTCTTCGGGAAACTGCCGCTGGAGCTCTGATTGTGCGGGCGCCTCAGCTAGCAACCAGTGCCCTGGACCTGCGCAGATGAAATGCTGCTCTTCTGCTGCCACAGGCTTCGGGGGGTATTCTGCTCCCACGATCCCAGCTGTCGGCGCTTGCAAGCAAGTTTCTGTCAACGCTGCCAAGGCTGTGGTGAATCAGTTTCCCGGTAGGATCAGGGAAATTGGATGTAAGAGAGACTGCTCTTGTCCTGGATCTTCTGACCATTGCTGCGGTCTTGCAACTGACTTCATGTGTTCTGATGCCGGCGGTGTAAGTGCCCACTTCGATCATCTGCTAGACAAAAACATTTGAAACTGATGGAACACAGTCTGCTACCCTTTCTGGAAAAGAGATCGCCGAGTGGTGCATGAGGAACCGCAACACTCTCAACCTCAAGTATGTTATTTGGGGTCAGAAGATCTGGACTACCTCTGTCGATAAGACTGAGAAGAACTGGGAGAATTGGCGAACCATGGAAGATCGCGGTGACCTGACTCAGAACCATTGGTGGGTAACTGCTGCATCACCATTGAGGTCAGATCAGCTAACAGATTCTAGGGACCATGTCCACGTCTCTTACAATGGATAGAGCCGAAACTCGCGAGAATGGAGATCTGGAGGTACCAAGGGACCAATATTGAAGAACTTCCGGCGCCACTGCGATTTGGACAAAACATAAGTAGTAGTCTTGGTCATTCAACATCATATAGCAATTTTAACACCGTCCGAAGTGTGACTGCCTTGTGGTATCTCGTTTAATATCTACCCTCAACGCCAGGCAACTGCAAGTAACTGTCTCGAAGTGTAATCATATTGCCAAAATCATGTCCATCATCCATCAAAACGCCGAGAACGAAGATCCCACCAATTTTAGCCCCCAAATGCTTCATTTACTACCTCACCCTCATCTGGCGTCACCTCCAGTTCGAGCAGCTCATGGGCTGCCTCAACTGTCTCTCCATCGATCCCGGCCTCCATCACTAAATCTTCTTCGGCAAAGGCAAGTCTTCCTAAAGCGAGAAGATACCTTTGGCTTCCCCCATGAGCCATTGAGAGCTTCTCGCTAATGTCTGCTAGATTGGCGGTATCGGGGCCCGTCACTAAAGCGTGTATCAAGAAGACGCATTGTGAGATGATTCGATATAAGCCGGCAGAGTACGACATCGTAGTCGATCCCTGTCGTATATCCTTGGTCTCAGATGTTTGTGGTAAGATGTTGAAAGGGATTGGTTGGTCGTACAGCTCGTCTATAGACATGCTGAGGCAGGCCACAAGGCGAGGGAGAGCTAGACTGTGAGACGCAAGCTCCTTAGCGCCAAAAGGATGGCGCGAAAAGGCGATGAGCGTTCGCAAAGCAGCCAAGCATAACGTAGATTTCTCATGGCGGGTAGTTACTGATGGGTGGTAATCCGTAAGCTTGTTTGTAACATGGTTGATGACATGACTAGCGACATGAGTATCTTCGTCGTCTGTAACCGGACCTATTGAGTCTGGAAGTGCAGAGGTTGTCAGGAGCTCTAGCATGCCCAAGATATCGGAAAGCTCTTGCTTTGGGCTCAGAAGTTTGTAGACCATGTCAGGTTTTATGCATCGCCAAAAGACTGTCGACTTGGGCTTGATTTCATCTTCTGTCACATCCATTGCAGTGGAACAAGCCAGAGCGCTTATATACAAGACTGATAAAATATCAACGATCTTGATATGTTCCTTCATTGACTGAAAGTCATCATTCTTCAGCCGTCGTTCACCTTCCCGTATGCGGTGCTGCCATTCAGCCAAAGTGCAGATTGTGGCTTGCGCGGGAGGTGTCAGGTTCGGCAAAACAAAGGGAACGACTTCTGACGCGTGGAGTGAGAAGATGAAAGAGATGATTGAGAGCAAATACTTGATAGGCTCCCAGAGCTGCTCCTCATGGCAACGATTCCACATGTTGACCATAAGATTTGCAAAATCCACAAGTAGCTGCATCGGTCGATCGGGACTTCCCATCAGAGGTATTTTTTGGAATATGATGGCGGAAAGCGAGGTATCTTTGTCATCTTTAAAGGAAAAGCGAGATAATGTGTCCAGTGTTGGGCGAGGAGCTCCATGATCGAGCACAAGTGGTAGAAACTAGAGACGATGAGCACAGTGCCAACCAGCTGGGAAGGATCAGACAAACCTCAAAAAGGACGGCCGGTGGTGGCGCTACTACAAACGGCGGTTGGTGTACTGGAGCCTCTGCCTTCCCAGTACTACTGGCGAAGCTATCTGTGTGAGTTTCCAGTGCCATGATAGGACTGTCAACAGTCGGCCTTTTCCTTTTGCCTTTGCTTGGTGTTCTCTCGCCGACGTGTAAGGCCACTGAGTCGGGATTCCTGCTGCGTCCTTGGCCCTTACTTGGACTTACAACAATATCCATCTCATCGAAGCCATCCGCAACCCATGATTTGTTTGCTTTCTTGGGAGTCGTAACTCCTCCCGTAGTTCCAACAGCGGGTTCCTTGCGGCGAACTCGATCACTGACCTCTCTCATATCACGCTGTAGAAATTGAAGTTCGGTATTGGCGTTTTGTTCAGCGGCAACAGCTGCCTCGGCAATCCTTTCCTGTTTCGCCAATTGTTCGGCATTTATCTTGTTCAGACGAGCAACCTCTGCGGCGTGCTCTTCATTCGATTTCACAAAATTGGATCGGACAATCGAGGCTTCTCCCAGAGCTGCTTTGAGTTGATCCTCGAGGGCTCGGACCCGCTGCTGGAGTGCTGACAAGATATCGCCAGGTTGGTTCTGGGACTGCTGAGAGGCTCCTGGTCTGTTTTGAGGCACAGCCGGCCGAGCGAATTGACTCGATTGAGCACGAACGAAGTTGGAGCTCTGGGTCTGGAACTGCTGAGAGGTGTACATGGGCTGGTGAGGTGGTCCAGCATTGTAAGGCTGTTGAGGGGCCTGGCCCATGGGCCGCCGCTTCGAAGGCTCGACAACAGGGTTCCATCGCGGATTCGGGGGCGGAACTGAGCGTCGAGAGTCTAAGTAGTAGCTTTGGGATGACTGGTTTTGTTGGAGATTGCCATCTACCACTGGCCTCCCAATAGGAACACCGGCATCATTTGTCACTTCGGTCGTATCGAGGTCATCGTCTTCTATCCAGACGATTTCTGGGGATTCAAAGCGTGGACGCTGTGTCAATGGCTTTGACTGGGCTTGTGCTTGCGTGAGCTGTATTGCATTGTCCTCGAGTTCCTGGAGGGCATTGGCAGGGATATCGTCGAAGCCGTCATCGGAGAACTCGTCGTCGAGATCCATTTTTGATGGGTGTTTTCATATCAGAGGAGAGATCCATTGAACAAAAATACAAAGCTTGTTATTGTTGCCGCATCTCGAATGATACCTATTGTCCTTGATCAC